CTCCGCGGTGCCTGCAGCGCCGAGTCCGGAGCCTGCATCCTTCCCTCCCCTTCTGGCGGCCTAGGTTCCCTTAAAGGGACAGAGAGTTTCCTGGCCGCCTCCCGCCTCCGCCGTCGGAACCAGCGCTCGGGGCGCAGAGGTGGGCGGGGAGGGGGGGGGTTGCACTTTGGCTCCTTTCTGACCTCTTTCCTCCCCCGCCCCCCACTCCCACCGCCCCTCTTTATTGAAACGTGAAGTGTGCTTCCTCTCCTGCCCCCAAGAGGGACCTGGCTGGAAAACAGAGTCGCGCCTCCTGGAGAAAGAACCGGGGGGTGGGGGTGGGGGCTGCGCGATGTTGAATTCGCGTTAAAAGTGAGGTCGAGACCCAAAACCTCAGGAAGAGGAAACCAGACCAGGGATGCAGGAGTCTCCTTACCTGCACGCGCGCTCCTCACGGTCGCCCCGCGTCCAGCAACTTCCCAGCGGTCGCGGGGGGGACAGTGTCTGCCTTTGTGCTTTCGAACACTGGCCTTGTCGTGGAAGTGATTTTCTGGGGTCATAACGTTTTCACCGCGAATGTGCTTCGGGGGCCGGCTGGGCCGAAGCCAACTAAGTTAGCAAAGTTGCAAATGGGGGCCGTCGGCTTTGTACGTGGAGAACAGCACGCGGGAACGGTCCAGGATCCGGGTGGCACCGGCTCCTTCGCCAGGAGGTGCACCGCCGTAGGCAGAAGTAATTTGGTACAAATGCTGCATTACCTTTTAGATCATAGAACTGGCTGCTTTCAAGCAAATCCTTGACTATAGTGTGTGTGTGTGTGTGTGTGTGTGTGTGTGTGTGTGTGTATCCTTGGTGGTACTGGGAGACATAACAGTTTAACATACTCATTCTTTAAGAAACGTTTGCCTTCTGTTTTCAATCAACTAAGCTGGCAGCTAGAGATACAAGTTTATTTGAGAATACCCTCTGGGTACCAAGCATGCTTGGATTGTTTTAGCAAATTAAAAATGAGCAAAATGCTTTTACCTTCTCAGCAGTAGACTCCTTAAGAGACCTCCTGTTTTGTGTGTATGTGTGCGTTTTTTAGAGAAACATTTTCTGTGTGTATCTCAAATGTGTTTTTAATGTGGAAAAGGAGAAAATAAAGGATTTTTAAAGGCTGAGGCTGATGCCATAGAACGATTCATTAAATCTGATTCCACATCAAGGAATTTACCTGCATATCTGGGAATGTGTGGAAACTAATCGCTAGCCTACTTGGTGAATTTCAAATAGCAGTGGATCAATTTGTCTCCCGGATAATGGGCAACGTGCCGATTTCTTCCTCGTGTTTGTATTTGGGTAGCATTTGGCTTGCTATGAGAGGCTGGTGTTTAGGAAACTGCACACTGACTACAACAATTTGACTCAGGAGTCCTGCTGCTGCCCAAATGGAAAGAATTGTTAGCAATTGTTATGATGACAGTAGGTTAAATGTGTACTAATTAGGTTGCAAAGGTGACCGTGGAACTTGAAAACTTTGCATCACTGAGAAAACTTCGCTGGGTTAGGCTCATGTGTAGATGAAGAAAGTAACTCATTAGGCAAAAATGCCATACATTTACTGGGAAGAAATTCTGAAACGAATTGAGCATGAAAGATCGTTGGCCAAAATCTTCCACCACGGTGTGCAAAATGACTGCAGTGATTTTGCTGTATTAATTATGCCTGAAGCACAATATAAACTTCCTGAACACACACTAGAGGTCTCTCTTCTAGCTGTAAGATTTTTGTGTTTGTAATTCTTTGCCAGGGATCGCATAGTGGGGGTGCACAATAATAGCTTGGTTCATACTTGTTTAAGTAATAGTGATTTACTGGCTGTTCAGCTTACTCTGATGGGAAATATGTATTTTGGGGAGAGTAGTCAGTCATCATTGCACAAGTTATATGACTGAAGTACTGAGAAAGTAACTGCAATAAGACTTCTAAATGATGATGAAAGCATATTATTCAATTTGCATGGAATAATGCATTGTGGAATTATTTATCAAAGCAATTAGTTTTTTAAGTGTAAGAGTCATTAGTGACATGTATTATATCGAGAACTTTCTGAAATTAAACCTCCGTTTAGTTCAGTGTTTAGCAATAATAGTTGCTTGCATAAATGCTTTCTTGTCTTGACGTTTCTAAATTGGAATGATTGTTTTCTAATTCTGAAATGTGATGTTTTCTGCAAGACCTTTTCCCGTTTGTGTTGCTTTTGAGTTAAAGGGTATTTGCTCATGAACCATCAGTTACCAAGGCTTTCATTTGTTTGTTAAACTCCATTTCTGAACTCTCTTTTGGACTGCAATTTATAACTTCCCAAGCAAAGGGAGCATTTATTTTCTCCATCGTTTACATCTTGGGAGTAAAAACGAAATTTGTGGATGCAAGCGTGTATGCTTATTTTAATAGCTTACTCATGCAGAAGTGAGAAACAACTCACTCTCGCTTTTCATTCATTAAAAATGTACTAGATGTAAGTAATGTTTTGCTACTTGATGAGTTTGGATTGAGATAACTAGGCAGAAAGTAAAACAGAGATTATCTTTTAAGAATAACAACCCTATGTTCATTAATTCCATTCATTCATTGAACAAATATTTATTTGTGCCTGTTGTATGCGAACTAGTGTGTTAAATGCTGGAGACACAATGGTGAGAAAAAGCATTCAGAGTCTACAACCTCCTGGAATTTATGATCTTAGACTGAGAGTTAGACATTCATCCAATAATTGAGCACCTAACAGATGAGTGCTTTGAGGGAAAAGGAACTTGGGGCTCTGGTAGCACTACGCAAAGCATGGCAAAATGACCTAAACTGGGGTCAGGATTCCAGAGAAAGCCTTACACACTGAAATCTAAATGACGAAGGGGGGTGGGGAGAGAGAGAGGGCGAGAGGGAGGGAGGGAGGAGGGAGAGAGAGCACTGACATACCTGTAATTAGATTGGAGCTTTGAAAGGATGACTGGTGACACTCTGGGAAATAGTTAGAGGGACACAATGGATGAAGCATAACCCTTGGAAGGCTATTACAGTCGTCCAAGCAAGAGAAGACATACCTGGGGTCAGAGTAGTAGCAGGGGAAACAGTGATGGAAGGATCTGGGATCTATTTAGAAGCTACAGTTTACAGAACCTATCAAGGGCTGACCATGGGCGAACAAGAGGAGAGAAATGGCAACTGGACACCTAGGTTTCCAGCATGTTAATTACATAGACGCTGGAATTCTGAAGTCTGCCTGGGTGGATGTTGTACCTTTCGCCTCATTTCTAGTAGCTAGTTTGAATAGTAATGATAAGCCTCATTCATAATCAGCAAAACTGCATTCACAGAGAAAACCGAAGGATCTGGTCATTCTTTAATCCCTCGTTTCCTCAACACCCTTGCCGTTTGTCAGGTACTCATCTGCCTGCTCTTCTCATCCTGTTACCTGGGATCTCTTTTCCTGTGTGAAGTGCACCATGCGGTTCCACTTATCCAAGTCCAACTAGATTGGAATTCATCACTGAAGTAGACTGATGTTTAACCTTCTGACACAAAATCAGCCCTGTGCCTTATAGTACAAGTCAACGGTGTTAAAAATATGAACATGTTAAATGATTGCAAAAATTGACAGTCTGACTTTGCTTTTTAAAAAATAAGTTGCATTTTATTTTATTTGAATCAAGATCTCACTCTGATGCCCAGTCTGGAGTGCAGTGGCATCATCATGGCTCACTGCAGCCTCGATGACCTTCCGGGCTCAGGTAATCCTCCTGCCTCAGCCTCTCGAGTAGCTGGGACTACAGGCACATGCCACTGGGTTCAGCTAATTTTTTAACATTTGTGTAGAGATGAGGTCTCGCTATGTTTTCCAGGCTGCTTGCTCTTAGGCTCAAGCAGCCCTCCAATCTGGCCTCCCAAAGTGTTGGTATTACAGCCATGAGCCACTGTATCCCTTGACTTTGCCTTTTAAAAGTTCGCGTATGTACAATGAACTGACACAATTATGGAAATCACCTAACTGAAAAAAACTTTTAAAGACTTAAACAGCCCTTATTGTAACAGTCTCCCAGTTAGATTTTAGTGCTTTCCATGCAGTTATCTGTACATTTCTGTACTCATTTTTGTCTAGCCCTGCCTCAATGCAACATTTTAATACTTTTGTGTGTGTGTGTGTGTTGGAGTCTCACTCTGTCCCCCAGGCAGGTGTGCAGTGGCACACTCACAGCCACTCCAGTGTAGACCTGCTGGACTCTAGTGATCCTTCCGCCTCAGCCTTCCAAGTAGCTGGAACTACAGGCACGTGCTACCACGCCCAGCTAATTTTTTATTTATTGTAGAGATGGGGTGTCGCCTAGTTGCCCGGGCTGGTCTCAAACCTGCGGGTTCAGACAATCCACTCATGTCAACCACCCAAAGTGCTGGGATTACAGGCTGAGCCACTGAGCCCAGCCCATTTTTCATACTTTTTAAAAGTGGACATTGATTTTGGTCTTTCTAACAGCTAGTCCATTCTTTCTGTTTGTTCTCATTTCTCAAAAACTTGTTCCCTCGTGTCTGACTTCACAAACTTGTATGACAATCAGGAAACAGTTTTGCCCAATGTCATTGATCGCCAAAATAATATTCACTGATGAGCAGGTGATTAATTTAAAAATTACCTAAAATTGAGCATTCGGTTTTCTTTAAACTCAAAAGTATTAAAAGAGATAGCTGGGCATGGTAGCGGGGGCCTGTTGTCCCAACTACTTGGAAGGCTGAGACAGAAGGATCGCCTGAGCCCAGGAGGTCGAGACTTTGGTAAACTGTGATAGTGCCACCGCACTCCAGCCTGGACGACAGACTGAGACTCTGACTCAAAAAAGAAAAGTATTAAAAGAGAATTTCAGTAAAAGAAATCTGCCAAGAATGTTTTATAACGGCTTTTCTGGTTGTACTCCTTTCAGAGAATTCCAGGTTGGAGTTCCTTTCAGGAAATGGAGGTTGCAGTTATTTCCAGGAAATGATTTGAATATCACCCTCGCCATAGGCGCTGGATACATAAAAGCAATTCCATAAGATACTTTTCTTGGTGGTTCTCCTGTGGGTGGCCCTGAGGGAACACTCTGGTTAGAAAAACAGCCCTCATTTGACCAAGTCACCTGGGCATCCATTTTCTCTGTAAAAATTGGAAGGATGTTCTCTCCCCAACCTACCTTATAGGCCTGTTAAAAGGAAAAGATATACATTCAATTGAAGCACCAGTAAGCAGTAGCAGGATACCCCAAAGGGCAATTTCTCTGGAAGAGCCACCACAATCCTGGCCCCTGTTGCCCTATCGCTCAGTTCCTCAGTCCACATCCTCCCCACCTCATCCCTCTATCACGGCTGCCTCTGAATCCCTGGGCCCTGGTAATAGCCGTGGCTAAGATTTAGGGAGTAAGTACCAGAGACCACCGAATCCCCCAAGTAACACTGTGAGGCAAGTATTGTGCTATGCCCATCTTATAGGTGAAAGAATTGAGGGTCAGAAAGGTTCTGTGACTTGCCTGAAGTCAAAGACTAGGCTGGTGGCACAACAGGATCCCAAGCCAGCAGCCTGGCTACAAAACCCTGCGCAGTGGCCATCGGCTGTCCCACCGACACTCCTGGGCCTTGCCTTCCAGGACATACTATTTGAGCCTTTCCATAGGCAC